CTCCACATTGAATCTCTTGAAGCTGAAGATGATCCACTCATCATTCCAGTTACAGCTAGTCACTCCAACGCATCTTCTTCAAAGATCGATGTTGTGCCCATTAGCTTTGTTCCTCCTTCTACTTCAAACACTGATCAATCAGTGAATGAAATACCTTCAGTTTCTGAACCTGTTTTAGTCGCTGAATCTGAGGCTCCTTTGGTGATAGTCCCTATTGCTGAAGATACTGCAGCTGAAGCCTCATCTTATGTTCCTGAACTTGCTTATTCAGATGAAATTCCTTTACCGGCTCATTGATGGACAAAAGACCATCCAATTCAACAAATTTTTGGTGATCCAGATGCAGGTATCAAGACACGTCGTGGTCTGGCTAATATTTGTCTCTTTTTCAACTTTCTTTCTTTAGTTGAACCCAAGAAAATCAATGATGTTATCTCTGATCCTAGTTGGGTCCTTTCTATGCTAGAGGAGCTCATTGAGTTTGATAGGAACAAATTTTGGTACCTTGTCCCATGTCCATCTGACAAATCAGTGATAGACACCAAATGGGTCTATCGCAATAAGTTGGATGAAGATGGTGTGGTAACCTGTAACAAGGCTCGGCTTGTTGCTCAGGGTCATAGACAAGAAGAAGGGATCGACTATGACGAGACCTTCGCACCAATGGCTAGACTCGAAGCAATTCGACTCTTTCTAGCCTTTGCGGTCCATAGAGACTTCAAAGTCTTTCAAATGGATGTAAAGAGCGCTTTCCTTAATGGGAAACTTCAAGAGGAAGTTTATGTTGAACAACCTTCAGGTTCCTTGACTCTAAGTATCCAAATCATGTCTCTAGATTGGATAAAGCTCTTTATGGGTTAAAACATGCTCCTCGTGCCTGGTATGATACCTTTTCCTCTTTTCTCATCTATGAGAAATTCTCTCGTGGAAAGATTGACCAGACCTTATTTCTTAGGARAGTTAAGGGTCACATCATTCTAGTTCAAATTTATGTCGATGATATTATTTTTGGTTCCACTAATCCCTCTTTATGTTTTCGTTTCGCTGACGCATGAAGAAAGAATATCAGATGAGCATGATGGGAGAACTAATATTCTTTTTAGGTCTCCAGATCAAACAAACAGATAAAGGTATATTTATCAACCAAAGTAAGTATGTTCGAGACATGTTGAAGAACCTTGATCTATCCAACAGTTCATCTACGAAGACTCCAATGGCTCCTCCACTTTCTCTCAATAAGGATCCAAATGGAAATCCTGTAAACGCTACTGTTTATAGAGGAATGATCGGCTCCCTGCTGTATCTAACATCTAGCCGACCCGATATCATGTACTCCACTTGCTTATGTGCAAGATATCAAGTTGAACCAAAAGAATCCCATCTCATCATTGTCAAACGCTTATTCAGATATCTTAAGGGAACTCCTAACATGGGTCTTTGGTACTGTAAAGGTTCAGGTTTTGACCTAATCGGTTATTCGGATAGTGATTTTGCAGGTTGCAAAATTGATAGAAAAAGCACCACTAGAAGCTGTCAGCTTCTAGGTGGAAAGTTGGTGAGCTGGACAAACAAAAAGCAAAATTTCGTGTCCACATCAACAGCTGAAGCTGAATATGTAGCCGCTGGTTGTTGTTGTGCCGAAATTCTTTGGATGAAAAACCAGCTGATGGACTACGATATTCAGTTTTCAAAGGTTCCTATCTATTGTGATAGCACTAGTGCTATTGCTATTGCAAACAACCCTGTACTTCACTCCAAGATCAAACATATTGAGATCTGATATCATTTTATCAGAGATCATGTTATGAATGGTGATATTGAACTTCACTTCGTTCCAACTGAGTATCAACTCGCTGACCTTTTCACCAAACCTCTTGATGAGACAAGATTCAACATCTTGATCAGCGAATTGGGGATGTTAAACACTGAAGATTAATCTTCAGCTGTTAAACATCACTCAGTAAGTGAAATGATTCAGTGCTCTATCTCTGACACTGAACTTTTGAATAAATATATCTATTCTCTCTCAGATATGATTACTCTTCTCTTTTCTTCGACTTAAAACCCTCACTGAAACTTTTCTTCTTCAGTAACTGAAGTTTTAAAAGTTGGTTTCAGTGATTCTCTTATCATTGACCATATCTTTAAGTATATCTTTATACTTCTCTTAAAAATCAAAAACGATCACTAAACCTTTCTCTATCAGTGATTAAAAAGTTTGTTTTTAAATGCCAGTTTCAGTGATCCTCTTATCACTGACACTGATGCCTTAAAACGCTCACTGAAGTCTTTCATCTTCAGTGATAAAATATTTTAAACGGTCTTATCAGTGTTTAGTTAAACACTGTATAACTCTTCGTTTTCATAAAAACCCTTTATTTTTAAAAGAAAATAGTTAATGAACCGTCTTAATGACGACATTCTCTATTTACTATGTGCAACGCTTTGAGACACGCAAAAGGTTCTGTCATTTAGCTACCTCATTTAACGCCATCCAATCATGGATGAGAACATGGTATTTTTCATCATGACCACTTTCCCGAACCGTCGTCTTTTTACCCTCTCATATTCCTTCTCTCTCCTCCTACCTATAAATATGAGACTTCTTCTCCACTTCTCTCTTTACGCTTTAAAAACTCTTAGACGAACCTCTGCTAAGATTTCTCCAAAGCAAGGACTCCCTCAATTTCAACCTCTTTTCGACCTTTACTCTCTAAATCCATTAAGCTCAATATTTTTTTTCTTCTTTATCTTCTGTTATAAGAAATATTTAATCTGTTTTAAGAACCTTGTTCTCTTAATACATTAAACAACAAAGATTATTTAATCAACTCTTTCTTGGTTATAATCGTGTTTCTGTATATACATTCTACTTGAAAAACCCTAAATCTTCTTTAAGGATTTTTCAAAAGAAGTTTTTATCGTTTCAAAAACTTTTCTATATTCTTCTCCCAAACAATCATGGTTTTTACTAACAACCTGTTTATCTTATTCTTATTATTAAAACAGATGGCCGCCAAGAATGTCAACTTGTCTCTAGATGAGGTATCCTTCAAGGCCAACAACCACATTTCCTTGTTGGATATCCCCTCATCCAAGGCGGACTACCAAGAAGTGGCCGACTTCCTCAAACATTCGTTGTTGGGCTTCGCACTCAACCATGAGCCCATCATGGTGAAAGAACTTCTTCAGCAGTTCTGGTTCACTGCTGAAGTCATCGATGTCGAGGTCAAGCCTAGACGCCAAGTGGAGCAGGTCAACTTCACCTTCAACCGCATGAAAGTGAAGTTTGGCGTCAACACTTTGAGGACGACTCTTCGCTTTCCCAAAGGCCCCTACGACATTGAAACCACAACGGCCGAGATCATTGAGTGTCTCGATGCCATTGGCTATCAATGGCCAATGAAGAAGGACTTAAATGCTCCCATGAAGTCCTTGTCCAAGATTGAGAAGAACAGGATGTCAGCTGTCTGGCAATACCTGTTTTCTCATTTCATCTAATGCATGGGTGGAAAAACTGGAGGCCTGGACCAGGCCTCTAGGATCGCCTTGACCATAGGCGTATCTGCGATTCAGCATTGCAATATAAATTATCTTGCGGTCATTTTCGATGACTTGGTGCTCAAGTTGTACAAGCGCCAGCGAGAAAAGGTGGTGCCTTACACCAGGCTCCTTTCAATGGTCTTTGCTAAGATCTTTGGAGATAATTACTCCACGGAAGGAAACCTCCAGGTTTCCATGCTTGGATCCAGGATTCTGGATCATAAGCTAAGGAATAGTGATGTGGGCTAACTTCTATTGTGTCCATCACTACCTCTTCTCCTCAGGTGGCCAGGGCAAGGGTAAACCCCCCGAGTCCAGCCAAGCCAAGCCATCAAAACCCCTTCAAAACGACCCTCTCAACCAACTCTTGGTTCTCCTCAGAGAGCCAAGAAGTCCAAAAAGGGGACAGCCACGTCTCTTGCTGAAGCCTCTCGAAAGGTTTCAGCTATTGAAACTAGCCTTAACCCCGAGGCGTCTCTAGCTAACCCTCCTAGCTCTTTAGTGATTTCTCCCATCACTATCGTATCAGTGGTACCTACCCCAACCGCCTCAGTGACCCAAATCACTGAAGGTGTGAATATCAGCGCCGCCACCGCTTAACACCCACGTCTCTACTCAACCATTTTCTCTTCTCCTCCTTCTTTGGTCTTTACACATGTCGATGATGTATCAGCGACTGTCCTTCCTGATATTGAGACACACACCACTGGACCTGAGGTTGCACCTCTCGATGATTCTCAGTATACAAATGTCCATCCTCTCGGCGACATCTTTGCTCACGCCAGTGACAATCCTTTGAATGTCATTGATGGCCCCTTAGGTACTTCATCTTTCTACCCTTTCATTTCTACTAACCTTGAGCCTTTTGCTCACACTTCCTCTCTTGCAGGTCCTTCTTCTACGCATCAGCCTAATCTTGAGGAAGAGGAAGAGGAAGAGGATGGGGGCGGGAAAGAAGATGGAGGGGATGAAGAGATTGATGATGACTATGATATGACATCTGATATCAAGATTCTCCTCCTAGTCGTTGATTCAGTTCTCTGCAGGATAACTAAAGTCCACCAGGAGATGTCCCACCAAGCTGACCTTGATGCGAACTTCCTCGCTATCCAAGTGGACGTTCAAGAAGTTCAGAGTCACCTTATGAATCTCCAAGAAGTTGTTCAAGCCAACATCGTTGCCATTACTGCTCCCTCCAACAGGGCTGACGATGCTCAGGCTCTCGTCGTTCAGTAGATTGGGCTTTTTTAGCAGATCCTGGATGTTGTCCGTCAACAGCTCAAGTGATCCCACCTTCTTTCTCTGCCGATGATCGCGCCCAGCTCAAAGAGACGCTTGAGGCAACGACAACTCTAGTCGGTGCTCTGTCAAGGCTAGAGGAGGTAATAGTTCTCCAGCGTCAGCACTTGGATGAACTCTTTGGCCAATTCTCTCAAGTATTAGCTAGAGAGAGGGATATGAGGTCCAACGCTGGTGGATCATCTGATGCTGCTACTACTCCTTCTTTTGCTGCTGCTCCAGTATCAATTACAGTTGAAGCTGAAGTTGAGGCTCCTAGAGCTGAAGCGGTTGCTGCTCCTGTAATCTCGACCATCAAAGTTGTTCCAGCTGAGGTTGTCGATACCATCCCTAGGAATGATTCTCCTTCCATCACTGCTGCTGTTGGTGATGATGATGATGATGATGATGATGATGATGATGATGATGATGATGATGATGATGATGAAGACGAAGATGATGATGATGAAGATGATGAACCTACCATCTCTGACCCTGGAAGTGACCTAGATGGTGACGACGACGATGATGATGAAGATGACTTCATCATCAAGTACCAGAAGCCATCAACCGCCACCAAGGGTGTCACCCTTGGGTATTCTGCATCCCAGGGGGAGCGAAGGGAAAGTGAATCTGCTCCATCAAGGAACCAGGACCCCAAGTCAAAAGGCAATGCGGTCGCTGAAGAAGGAAACTTGAAGGTATTGTTCAATATCCCTCAACAACCTTTATTTGAATATTCTACCTCTCAGGTAGTAATCACTTCAAATTCCATCAACCACCTGAGGTCAACTGGAGTGGGTCCCTGATCACCCTGTATCTAGTGCTCCTACCGACCAGCAGATGACTCAGCTAAAGGAGTCACTCGACCAGACTAGATTAAAAATTCATCTTCGTACCTCTAGTGGTGGTGAGTTCGACTTCCTTTCTGAAGCTGAAAGACTCGAGGCATTGCGGGCTGAAGAAGAGCTAGAGCATCGAAAGAAGCAGACTGAAGACAGCTTAAAACTGGCCAAGTCACTAGCTGCAAAGGTTCTCTCCAAGAGAAAGTACAAGAAAAAGGTGAACATTGTCCAAGCCCAGGCTAAACTTCTTTCTATTGCAAATGGACAAGCGGTGGAGCGAAGCAAAGCTAAAGAAGAGAATCAGTCCCCGCTCGATTATTAGCGTCAACATCAACAAACGTTCAAAAGACGGTGGAACGCTGGTCTCAATACTCATCACCAGGGGCAATCTCGATGCCATCACCGAGTATCATTCCTACTCTGGCTGATATGGATACAGCGAATGGATGGAGATCAGGCAAGCCATTCAGCGATCCAAGTCAAGACATAAGGCGATTATTGAGGACACCATCAGTGATCTCATCAAAAGGATGTCCAGGTATGTCGCGGTCCCTGACAGGCCATCTCTGAAGAAAGGTGGGAAGAAGAAACTCAAGCTCTCTGATCCTAATGATGGACCATTCCTAAGGAACGAACGTGAAACAAGGTTCTCCTTAGATGAAGTCCTGAAGGGTCATCAGATTATAGACATTTCTATGTTGAATCTTGACTTCCCAGATAAGGGTCCCTATAAACCCAATGATGTGCATTTTAAACCTGAGTTAGGAGTTATATTCCTTAACTATGAAGGTGAAGTCAGATTTTAGAGAATGTCAGAGCTACATCTATGTCCAATGGGTCATTTGGTTTACCTCTTGCTCTGGATAGATGATAGCATGCCTGGAAAAGTCATTGATCTAAAGATAAGAAGGAAATGCCTACGTCGAAGAAAACCTTGGTGAAGATATACCTAGCTACAAAGATCTAAGTGTTCTAGAATAGTTTCTCTTTGTAACAACAATCTACTTTTCCTTATAACTTTTTGTACTATGTCTACTTTCAGTGATTATTCTTATAGTCTGTAAGCACTAGACATGTACTGAACTACTTGTAATATTACCAATGATAATAAAATGAGTATTTCATGTACTTCACTGAAAAAGATCCCTGAAAAAAGTAATAGGGACACAAGTCTATGAGTTCCAGTGTTACTTTCTACATTCACTGAYAATCTATAAGTCAGCGAATAAGCTTTCAGTTTCAGTTTCCATACTTGTAATTTTCTCTTAGATATAACTTAAAGAAAATTCTCAAGCAGAGACTGACTCACTGAAAAATATCCCAAAATAGTAAAAAGGGACATGTACTTTATGTGTAACTTTTTCTTACTATTATTTGATAAGACAACTTTCTTTATGTTGTCTTGTTATCATCAAATAGGGGGAGATTGTTGATCCTTTCTCTCAGTGATTTGATGATAATCCCTTTTCACTTATACGTTGTATTTATGTTTCTGTCTTTTCAGTTCCAGCGATCATCATTGAGTCTGTTTAGTGATCGTTGAAGAACTTGTATTGTAATTCAATTAGAGATAGCGATACTTCAAGAAGACAACACTCACACTAAAGAACCTTCAGCTAATGTCGAAGACTGAAACTGAAGATTAGGGACTGACAAGTACGTGATCTGAAGCGGTACTTAGTGATTACAAGCCTGTCTACATATGTGTGAAGACTGCTCAAGCCTCAATGAATGCTGAAGAGACCTCCAGGTTATTCCAGCATTCAGCGATCAAAGGAAGCTTCCTTTGCACGATTGTTGTTGTCTCGTCCTTATACACACAAAGGACAAATCCATACCCTTCTAAACGTTGGTACAGTACGGAGCCGACTAGTTGACTCTATTGCCCACCAACTTTAGGTAAGGATGTCTGCTCATGAATATTGCTTTTTGTACTATCCACTGTAGCAAAGAACAAGCCTTACTCTTAAGGCTTGACACGCACTCTAACCCTACCATTTTGCATTAAATGAACATTTAACGCACTGGGTATAAATAGAAGTGTTTCTTCTCCATGCAGAGTGCGTGCAACTCACTCTCTAAACCTAATTCTTACTTTGAACATTTCCTAGCTTAAGTAAAGGAACTTTTCTTACAACATTTCTTTTCTCATTTGCTAAGAATATGTGTGTAACCAAAGATTGTTTAGATAGGTTTTCTTACCTTATCTTTCCGCAAACAGTCTTGTAAAAATTGTATTGATCTTCTTTATCAATATACATTTTAAATTTGAAAATATTATGTTTGTATTCATCCCCCCTTCTACAAACTGTTTTACTTATCTTGTAGATCCTCAAGGGACCAACACATATGTTATAGGATATTACTCAGGGACGAGGTTTAGTAAGCGGAGCTATTCAGGTGAGTCTTCATGAGACTTTAACTGGGATGCATGTTTATATACAAATTATTTGAGCATTACGATATTTTTTATGTACATGTTTATGGGTTTATTACATATATATGAATTATTATTGTGGGTTGCATGCTATTTGTTTACGTGTTTTAAATATTAATTAGCATGTTATAAATGGGTTAATATTTGTCAGGTATGGGAAGGGGTCAAAAGTCATAAGGGATGACACATCCTAGGGATGGGTGACCGGATAAGGGATAACCGTGTAACCCGGGAAAGTGTCGATGACGGTAAGACCTTAACCCGACGGGAAATTAAGAGATCTTATTATTTTTTTTAAAAGGGTTGAAACAAATGTGCATATTATCTTATTTGGGGTACATGATGAGGTATGTATGATTGTGCACAAAAACCATGAACTCACTAAGCTTTATAAAGCTGACTATTAGTATGCATCTCAGGTGCAAGAGGTTCAAGGGTGGACAAGGCCAAGTTCTCTCCTAGATAATTATATTATTGTTATATTTCGGATGTTTAGGTTTATGTTTAAACTCATTTTGTAATGTTACCCGGTGTGGGACGGGTTAGCGTTGAGCTATTAATTTTAATTAAATTTTGGAAGACTTCCGCTGTATGGCTTTATTAGCCACTATATTTTGAGGTTATTTATTTTTATTTAATGAGAATTATGTGACACAAATCATGGTGAAAATGAGGGTGTTACAAGTTGGTATCAGAGCCTTGGTTTAAGGGAATTAGGTTAGTGATAGCTTAAGCTTAAACTAGGAGGGTATTAAGGGGATGCAAATTGGATGAGCTAGGTTACTATTAGCCTAGATTTGAATAAAGTGAAGGGGGTCAAAGGGTATATAAGTTTGGATATTTTTTTAGAAAAGAGAAATGATTCAAGCAAAATAAGATATGTGACAACCTAAGCTTAAATCATGAGATTAAGAGTATGAATGCAACATAAGATTCTTATTGGAGTAATTTGCTATTATGAAAACTCATGATCGAGTTATTGGTGATGTATTGTATTTCCTTTTTAGAAAATGGGATGGGAATGGATGGTCCATGTAAGGTATGGTCAGATGGGGGATTATCCCATAGACTAGCGAATCGTCAAAGGACTATAGATTAAGTTAGTTGAGATGGTGCTCAACATATGTGGTTATAGGTATGGGGAACTTTGAGTTTAGGAAATGAAACACTTACAAGGTTGATAGAAAACATCTGACAAACATTTACAACTATAATGGTGCTCTTGGGGAGAGACGTAAGTGATTTAGAAAGGTTATCACTCTTAGAGAAAAGATTTGTTAGAATGTTCAATACGATTAAATATACACGAGGAATTCATTTGAGATGAAAAGAGACCTACGTGATAGGAAAGAGTCATATACTATATGTGATGGGTATGGGGTTGATGATTAGGCCACCCATCTAATTGTTCATTATAAGAGGGGTATGTGTAATCACTCTTAGACCTTTGGGCGTGAAACTATGGAACGTATAGGATTTCTATAGAGACACAATTGGAGAGTATTATGATTGGGGAACATGGTACTAGAGATATTTAAGGGAATGGTATCAGGAATGGCCACAAACTCGTCAGACTTTGTGTCTATGTCCAGATTATATAAGGACTAATTAAACGCTTTATATTTTCATAAAGGGAAGGTGATGAGATGAGGGTGGAAAAGATATAATGAGTTGGCAATGGAATAAATCATAATTAATACTTATGATTACTAATACTTAAAGTAAGTTATATATCTATAAACTTACTACAAAAATTTTCATATGAATTATGAAGATTGATCAAGATAGCTCTGGGGATGTAAGGGGACACATATTTAGAAACGTTGTTTAATGCATCGATAGGTTACTGTCGAGCCCATGACTGGGGAAAGGTCAATACAAGGGTATTAATGCAACTTAGCATGTGTGATTGTTTTGCAGCGACTAGTAGAAGTTGTGGTTGGTCTCATGATGTCAACAA